ATAACAAGTGTAATATCCACTAAAGCAAAGCTTAAGTATATAACACCAACAGAGGAAGTCTTTAAATTTCGAATAGACAGACCGTTGTGAGTCGAGTTTTCAGGAGCTGAAACGGAGGCTGACGACGGCACCAGTGTTGACTATTCCAGACCCTTCTCGGAGCTTCACCATCTATAGTGATGCTTTGAGGAAGGGTTTAGGATGTGTACTTATGCAAGATGGCCAGGTCGTTGCTTATGCTTCACGCCAACTTAAACCACATGAACAGAACTACCCGACGCATGACTTGGAATTAGCTGCAGTTGTTTATGCCCTCAAGATTTGGCGACACTACCTATACGGCGGTCAATGCGAAATTTTCACCGATCATAAGAGCTTACAGTATATCTTTACTCAGAAGGAACTCAATATGAGGCAGCGCCGTTGGTTAGAGCTCATCAAGGATTATGATTGTACGATCCAGTACCATCCGGGGAAGGCGAATGTAGTTGTTGATTCTCTAAGCCGCAAGGTTAAGGGTGACTTGACATACGCTGTTACTCAGCAGAGTCAGTTGATCCATGAGTTCGCCCGGATGCAGATTCAGTTGATTGATGCACTTCATACAGTCAGTACAGGGAGTGTGAGTTCTATGCAGGTTCAGCCGACGCTGAGGGAGAGGATCCGGCAATAGCAGGCTTCAGATAAGTTTGTTCGTGCCATTGATGCCAAGGTTCGTGCCGGAGGCGTCGAGGGTTTTCACCGAGGCACTGATGGGGCCTTGGAATTTCGTGGCAGGATTGTGGTGCCGAAAGTCGAGGCATTGAGAAAGGAGATTTTATTTGAGGCTCATACCGCACCATACCTAGCCCATCCAAGAAGTACAAAGATGTATCACGACCTGAAAGGGTCGTTTTGGTGGCGAGGATTGAAGAAAGACGTAACCGACTTTGTAAGGAGATGTTTAACCTGTCAGCAAGTCAAAGCCGAGCATAAGAGTCCCATAGGCCTTCTACGACCACTGCCGATTCCGAGGTGAAAGTGGAAGGAAGTTGCGATGGATTTTGTTACGGGGTTACCGAGGTCGTCTGAACATCACGACGCTATCTGGGTCGTGGTCGACAGACTGACTAAGGTTGCTCATTTCTTACCAGTATCGATGAGTATGTCTTTGGATAGGTTGGCTGAGATTTATGTCCGTGGGATCGTTCGACTCCATGGAGTACCTGTTACTATCGTGTCAGACAGAGATCCCAGATTCACCAGTAGATTCTGGAAGAGTTTACACGAAGCGATGGGTATGAAGCTAGCATTCAGTTCAACCTACCATCCCGAGACAGATGGACAAACAGAACGGACTATTCAGACACTGGGGGATATGTTGCGCGCTTTGGTTGTTGACAGGGGTGCTAAATGGGAGTCATTATTGTCGTACGTCGAGTTCGCGTACAACAACAGTTATCATTCTTATATTCAGATGGCTCCTTATGAGGCACTATATGGTCGTAAATGTCGTTCCCCTCTCTATTAGGACGACGTCGGTGAACATTGAGTACTCGGTCCGAAGCTGATCGAGGAGACAGCCGAGCAAGGCGAGCTGATCCGGCAGAGACTCAGAACAGCTCAGAGTAGAATGAAATCAACTGCCGATCATCATCGATGAGACATCCAGTTCGAGGTTGGCGAGCACGCTTTTCTCAGAGTTAGTCCTATTCACAGAGTTATTCGATTCGGGAAGAGAGGGAAGTTGCACCCTCGGTTCATTGGCCCGTTCGAAGTACTCGAGCGAGTGGGTGA